TCTATTTCTAAATCCTGATTCAAAGACACCCTACCAACTTTCTCCTCTCAGGTATGGTTGACCTAGAACTTTGCCTAACAGATTGTCATGGATAAGGTTGTCAGCTGTATGCTAAAGGAGATTAATGTGAAAGAAAAGATTCTTCAGAAAGTGAATGGAGCAGCACATAAAAAGAACTTCCCGAGAAGCATTGTAATTCTCTCACCCTTGTGCTGTCAAAATGCTGTTTCAACTATTTTTATTATTTGCATAAATTCTTCATGGGTGGCAGAGTCTTCAATAATTTTAGACAAGTTTAAACAGGTTGCTTGCTCCCAAATTTTGGCTGGATTGATGGAAAAGAAAGTGATCTAATATTAGGGATATGGAACTTCAAAATGCAAAGGGAAATTCACTGTTAGTTAATGCAAAATGGCAAGCATTTGAGCCTCTTGTGAAATAACCTGAAAAACAAGTCATACTGCAAGTTGGTATTTCTATCGTAGAATATATTGGGCACAGCTGGTGTAAAGCAGTGACGTTCCATTGATTTCAGTTTGACATCTTGTCTCCATGTTTTTTCTTTACTGGTAGAATCACCTAAATGACTGCATTGTGTGTGCCTCAGAAACCTCATCACTGGTTGAAGCATGTGTCATTCCATCACTGACATGTATTTTGGATGAGTCCCAGTAGATGGTTCTCAGAAGCCAGCTGTTTGTGAAAAACTATGCTAAGAGGACTCATTTATAAAGGCTCCCAAAAGCTCATGACATGTTGTTGACTTGCCTGTGTGATACACATTTGAAAGGTTATACAGTGAATGCTTGCTGATTCGTCTGTGGGACAATTACTAATGGTTTAATTTGGTAGTGTTAGAGTGATGTTAGTACAATAAAAGGTATCACCCAAAGAAATTCTTGCCTCTCATATGGTATAATTTGCCATAGTTTGGATTCCAGTCTATCTACCCTACCCCCTCCATTTTCAGTTCCAGATAATTGGTCACTATGGGATAATCCAATGTATAATTCACCTGATTTGCATTTTCCTTGAAGAGGTGAATTTACCAGGGCTCACTGTATATCCCTATACCAGCTCCTAAGCCACCCATAACCTCCTCCTTTTACCTTCTATTTTTTATCACTGGTCAGTCTCTCCTTCCTCTGCCTGTAGTTCAATAACACAAGCTTGAGAAGGAAGAGAAAAGCCACTCTTCTTTGCTAAAATTGGTGGACAGAATTTTAAAATGTGGGTGCCTAAATTTGGGTTCCTAATTTCAGATATAGGCACCTAGTATCAGATAGCTGATTTTTTTTGCCTCCAGAGGTGTAGAATATCTGCAGCTCTGCTTAACTTCATCTGGAGCTGGGTTTGCTCGGTGCCTCTTAGTTGTCTGGGGAAAGTCTGGTTTCGATCCATATCAAATCAAATTAAATACTGTTTGTAGGCTTAGTTACATGAGATGCCCAGAAGGGACACCTGCATGCTTACTACTCAGTCTAAGCGTATCATCTCTTATTCAGGGGTGTATGCTGTTCAGCTACTAACCACTGATCCTGCAGGTGTTTCGTGGGCAGACAGCCTTTTTTGTAAGCTGATAAGAGTTCATCATGTATATGATTGCAGCATTGTGCTGTTAGAGACTTAACAGCTCAATCCCTTTACTATGTAATTCCCAGGACATCTCTATGTTCAAGGACTGGCAGCTTCTGCAGAATTTTGTCAGCTAATTCATTGTGCTTTGTGAAGTGGAGTGCAATCCATGACACAAATTTGGCGCTAGCAAATATCTCTCATCTGGGGCAGTTGCACATCTGTTAACTAGGAGTATATTCCACAGGCCAGCCTTTTGAAGAATACTAAAGGATAATTGAGGCTTTCAATACATTTTTCTTTAACTTAGGGTGAGCTGAGTGGTGGTAGGAGTTAAGCAAGATTAATTTGCAAGTACATTCTGGAGCTAGATGTCTGGATCCCTGTTTATCAATTTTCATACTGTATTTTTAGGATTATAGGATATTATAAATTTGAAAATGTCACACAGTGAGAGCATCTTTTCTCTATGATTGCATTTAGGATCGCTTTGCTAAAGAGGAATGCACAGTTTGGGGAGACAAGCTAACAGCAGTTAAGGTTAATGAGAATGTCGGCTTTCAGTGAGTTTGTTTGTTGAGTCCCTGCTTTTGTAGTGTTTCTCATTAATAAATATTTGATATGGTTGTCACAACTTTATTTTTCAGTATATTCTTTTGGGGGCATGGTCACAGAATGCTTCTTATTTCCCATAGAGTGGTGTTGCACTGCCGCTGTTATCTGCAGCTGAGACAGGATAAGCATTAGACCAGACATGCACAATTTCTTTGCACACCGCCTGCTCCCAAGACCTAGTGATCTATTTAGTTTGCAGTGTTATTTGCTAAGAGCCATTTCTTCCTCTGTATAATTTTATCCTCTCAAAAACTCACCTGAGGGTGGAGGTGCAAGAACCCCATAAAACATACCTAGTCAAAGATCTCAAATCTGCTCTGTCTTAACAGCCCCAACAGATCCTTGGGTATACAGCAGTGACACTTGCATTTCACTCACCTTGTTTATTCTTTTTCACCTGGTGTCAGCCTTATACCACACACATCTCTTGGGAAAACCTCCTTCTCACAGAACTCTTCTACAAGCCAACTTTCCTTTTTTTTCTGGCTCAGAGATCACAGTCGACGTAGAATAAAATTTGTGATAGCAGTGTCATCTTCTATGAGGGCAAGCCTTCAAGTTTGAGATAAAGATGATCCTGGGTTTCTGAGTTAATCCTTGTCCCTGCCTTTTAATCAATAATTCTTCAGCCATGTAGTTGCTGTGATCTTTAGATGCCAGTATTTCTGTCTGTCTTCATGTTTTGCATAAAAAAATATGGCTTACGCATATCTAGTCTTTGGGAATTTGGCAAGAGAAATTCATACTGGAATAAATTAAACTCCATATCATCCCAAGGTACACGTTACCCAAGAAGATAGTTTTCAAGGGGAACATAAACTCACCAGACCATTTAAAAAAGTTTGTCTTGGAAAAAAAAAAGGGGCTGAAAAGGAAAACAGCTCAACACTGAAGATGGAGAGGAAATTTATATCTTTTCATAAATTATAGTCTCATACAGTGTTAGTCTGTGGATGAAAGAGAAGCACGTGCATGACTTACAGTTTCACAAATGATTTCCATGAATGTTTGACACTGATAACAAGTGACTACTCCATGTTTTTCCCAAACACGTACCGCAACAAATTATGGTTGTAATTATGGCATAACAGATGCAAAGTAATGTAGCATCTGCCTCATTCAAGAGTTATCCCTCTCTTAATTATATATGGGGATTCCTAATTCTACTAAAGAAAAAATATATAACAACAACAACAAAACAACTTAGAAGTAGACCAAGCAAAAATAGTGGTAGACTTGTATTTTGAACATATAGTTATGCTGCAGATGCTCATTGTGTTAACAGCAGATTTAATTGTGGGACAGCACATTCATGCCTCATTGGTTCCTTTCCCTGTTCTCAAACCTCCTCCTCCTCTTTCACCGAGCAAGTGGTTAAAGTGACTCTTTTCCTTTTGTTTCCCTAACTCTAACTACTGTTTAGGAAGGAGGGCAAGTTTTTCTGTTTCTTTGTTCAGTAGTTAGTGGAACAGTATATTTGTTAGCTTATTCACTGGAGGAGATGAAAGCACATTGCTACCCCTACACACATTTACATCAGAATGTTTCTATATTGTCTTTTCAAAACACGGTAGAAGTGGCTTAGTCTAGAAACATCTGCTAGTCCTGTGTAAACCATTTTAGCATTGCTTATGTTTTATCTTGCTAATTACCCTGGTAGTCATCATCTAAGTCTTTTGACAATATAGCTGTGACTCAGAGGCATAACTACCAGAGTCTGCACCCTGGGAGGCAGTGGCTGTAGTGACTGGGCTGTCTGCAGCAATGGCAGTGGCTGGACTAGCAATGGCTGCTGTTCTCATACCCCCTCTAAGTGGGTGATGGGGGCTGGTGCCATGGTTTCCCATCCCTTGTTAGGCCACTTTCCTGATTGATTGTCACATGAATATGCATGTCTGGAGAGACCGCATGCATTTGTACAGCATGTAGCACAATGGGAAATCTATATTGCTATTGTATTCAAAATCAAATTTCTTCACACACAAATAAAGATGTGGGATAGAATGCTAGTGGTCTGTAATAAACACAATAGTACCCAAGAGTGAGGAGATTTGCCTGCTGGGTTCAAGAAAGTATCTATTCACCCATAAGTATAATTTAGTTTCTTCGATTAGACTTAAAATGACATTACAAATCTAGGCTCAATAGGCAGTAAAGAGTTTCTAACATTCTTCCTTGAGTTTACCAAGAAGAGAACTGGATAGTATGAAATTACTTTTTTAAATATGACTACTATCTTTGTGGATTCCTCTTCCAGTGGAGAATAGAACTTCTCAGTCTAGTCTTAGTGTGTAAATGTTGCTGTCAGTAACCATGCTATATAACTCCCTGCAGAAATGTGTTTGGGTTTCTAGTAGTGTGGCAAAATTGTGCTCTCAGTTACAATTGCATCCTTTCGTTCCATGCAGTGTAATGCACCTCCTTGGCTTTGAAGCAGTGACATGTTGCTACAGTGATCCGTTTGCATTGTGTCAGTTCTGCTCTGTTGAAGTGCAGTCATATACAGAGGACCTTATGCAGGCTGTTTCCTACATTTACTAAAAAAGGAGACTGTATCAAGCACCAGCTTGTCACCATGCAAGTCCCCAAACTCTGAGACCCTGGCATTCTCAGTCCAAGGCTTTCTTCGTTGTGAAGTAACCAGACTCTGGTGGTAATTGGCTGAATCAGATTTAACAATGCAGTCAGATAAACAGTTGTGGCAGCTGCTGCCATGGCAACATCATCATGCTAACCCTCCCAGTGTGCCCTTTTCCCTCCCCCACCAACACATACCCCTCCTTCTCGCTAGCAAGTGACATACCCACTAATAGTCTGTACAGTCGGGAGGGTTTAATGGCAGAGCAGTTTGCTTTCAAAACTGTTCAATATGATGAATGAAGATGCGGCTCAGAAAAGTGATGGTGGTGAGAAATACAACGGCAGTAATCAGAGAAGGAAAAGACCCAAGAAGGTAATGTTGAATGGGGAGAGCAAAAATGATGTGCGAGTAACCAAGCGAGTCTATAGGAGTGGTTTAGAGACAAGGGATGCTGAATCAGTGAGCTCCTTCTGCTGAGGTGTTGAGATACGTTACTTATACAATGTATAAGGGAAAAGCAGGCATAGCATTTTTTTAATGTGGGAAAAAACAAGAGCCAGCAGTGGGTGAGCCGACTGAGATACTGTGTTGCCTACAAAGCCGAGGTGTGTGGCATATGGGAAGCCGTAGAGGGATTTTGTTCTCACTGCTGGTGGATGGCACCATAGCTAACGTGGAAAAATCCAAGGGCTTCTGAGTATCTTGCCAGGTGGACTAGTAAGGTTGTGATAACCAAGCTGAAGAGTTTCTTTGGCAAACAGACGCCTGTTTTGTTCTATTAGTCTTGGCTTCATTAGACATCAAATGCCTTTCAGCACTGGTGTCAGTATGTTTCTGTTAGGCAAGAGAGCAGTTTTCTGTGACAAGAAATGTTAAACCTGGATGTTAATGTTCTTTTATCTGTCTCTCTCTCTTGTTTTTTTTAAGAGTATAAATTTGGATTTATCTCCCTTCCATTCGGTTTGTCCAGCAAGTTCTGTGCCTCGTATGCTGGGTTAAGCAAATGGCTGAAAAGAAGATGTACAATTAGTAAAAATACCGTTGAGCTTTTTGTAGAAACCTATAGTAATTTGATGGTGCTGATGGAAACCGGTTAAGTAAAAATGTAAAAATTGTACGGCCACACCCAGTTTCCAAGATGCTCTTGCTTTACAGCCAGCCTGTCTCTAGTGGGTGGTTGATTCTTTACAGGTTCCTGCATCCAACAGTTGATTCCTGACATTTGAAGTTGTTTGCTCTTAATTAATACTTTAAATAGTAAAAAAGCTATTTGCTATTTTTTGTTGGCAGGAAGGGTTGCAAAATAATAAAGTGACAGATACAGTTTTACATACTCTTATTAGGTCTGATTTTCTCTCATTGTGGGGGGGTTACTCTAAGAAGAATCTAGTTCAGAAACAAAATAAGTAGTGTATCATCAATTCATTTTTCAGTTTGCACTTTTAAACTTTAATAGGATTTATAACATTGTGTTCCAGCAAAACACAATATTATAAAGACACACTGATAAAATATAGTAACCACAACAGAGACCTAAACATACAGATCTTTAGCAGGGTTTTGGACTCGGAAAGAAAGGCTCCTAAGTAATGGCTAGCATCTGATAGGTGCAGTTCTATCACAGGGAGAAGCTTGTGTTTTGAACAACTAATAGGATGTATCATAATTGAGCCAAAGCAAGAAAATTAGGGTGAAGGTAAGATAGCTTCACCCCACCCCATTGTGCTTGGAATATTACCTGAGTCTCCACATAGTGGGTGATTTTATGTAGCGCATTGGTTTTTACACCTAAGCACAAATGAGCAGTAGAAAAACTGTCTAGTCTCATCTTAAATTTAAATTTTAAGGCATAATTTTCAAAGGGGCTTTATCTGGTTCAGTGTATTTTTAAAATTCACTGTGTGTAAATTAGCTATCAGTTGCAAAATTATTATATGTATGGTGGTTAACATGACCTGGGTATAGCTGTGCATTGATTAAAGGGATGAGGTAACAATGAAGCAAAGTCTTCTCCATCCTTAATTTTTACAAATAATAATCCTTAAATAATAATAATCCTTACTTTTTATAAATAATAATGCATTTAAGTAGTGTTTAAATTTAAGTCTCTCAAAGCCCTTTCATTGTTCGGTTACTGGTATATTGCATTCTGCTTCCAATCACACAAATGCATAAAAATGTATGTCTTCATATAGATGTGTATATCTTATCCCTTGGAAGACTATCTGCTTTCCCCACAAATTTAATAAATTGTTCATGGCTGTTTATTTTTAAGTCATCTAAAATTAATTTGAGCAATTTCAATTTATTTAGATACAAAGCAATTCTTGAAGTGCTTATCTTGCATGCATTATTAGACATTGAGGTTTGGAGCTTGCAAAGGGTTAGTAGTCTGAACTATTGCTTGCATGTGAAATCTCACTTGACCCCTTGTGGGACTACAGCTCAGAAGCTAACGGTCCCTTTGTACACACTAGGAATAAATTGCTGGGACCTGAGCCAATCTATTTAGAACCTCAGGGGAATTTTTTAACCAGGGAGACCACACCCCCTAGAATAACCATTAGCGTGATGGCTAGAGCAGTCTTCTAGACTGCTGGAGAATAACAAATAACAGGGACTTGAAACATCCCCAGTGAGTTCCCTAATAGCCAAGTTATTGGCTGTTTTGGGATCTCTCGCTCTTTCTTTCCTTCCAATCTCCATCAGTATTTCCATGAAAATCTTCAGCTTCATCCTGATATGGAGAGGAAAACCTTTTTGTATCTTGATATTTTTTATGGGACAGCAAAGTCACTTCTTACATAGCTGTAAATGTGATTCCTGGTTGGCTGCGCACTGTCCAGTTGAAGGCAAATGTTCTCCCTGGCTCAGGATCCAGCTGTGTGGATCAGGTGGCAGAATTTGAGCCTCGTTTTCTAGCTGATTTATTTTTCTTTTTGCACTTTGAATGTGGATAAATACTGTTTTGTTTTGTTTTATTTTAATTGCACCTTGGCAGGAAAAAGTAGTTCTAGGCTTCAGTGCTTAGCAGTGAAACATTGGATTTATTATGAGGAAGGTGCAGAGGTGCCCTGAATAGTTTCATTGCTTGTTCTGCTTTAGTGGAACACACGGTAGAATTATTTCAAGTGGAAACCCAAACTTTAGGAGTGACGTAACTGGTACATAGAGTAGCACCTGATGTCCATTAGTGTAATGAATGTGATGAGACAACATACAACAGCCATGTTGTACAGTAGCACAAAAAAGTCATATTAGTTCCTATAATTATCCATGACTTGTAGGATCTTATCCTTTGAAGTACTGAACAATTTTGAAAGGAGCTAAGTGTGTCCAAAATCCCCACTCCACTGGAGGATATTTTAGGATATTGTGAAGTTAACCTTTTGATATACTACATTGTTAGCATGGGAAACAGGTTTTCAATTGTAGAGTGTGTCTATTGGAAAAAAGCCAGTGGTCTTATTAAAATGTAAAAAGTAGTTCTTTGCTAATAATAAAATTCTAATAATAAAATTACAAATTGCAAGAGGTTTTTCAAAAATCCATAGGTATATGCTGAACTGGTCATCATAAAACACATGCTTTGTTCTGTCTGTTGTGATATGTTAGCTCTTAGTTTGTTGCCTTTTTTCTTTAGCATAGCTGTGTCTCATCAATTCGCTGTGCCTCCCAACACTACCATGTGATTCCTAGAGATGATCAAGCAGCTGTCAACGGTGCTCCTTCCTTTGGTCCATACTTTTCCATGGGTAGTTTAACTCCCCTACAGTTTTCTGCATGAAGCAGTTTCTCACAGAATCCATTGTGAAGCATCTAGAACAGAACAAGGTGATCAGGAACAGATAGCATGGATTCACCAAGCACAAGTCATGCCTATCAACCGGATTTCATAGAAACATAGAAGCATAGAAAATGAGGGTTGGATGGGACCTCAGGATGGCATCTAGTCCAACCCCCTGTTCAAAGCATGACTTTTCCCAACTACATCGTCCCAGCCAAGGCTTTGTCGAGCCAGGTCTTAAAAACCTCCAAGGATGGAGATTTCACAACCTCTCTCAGTAACCTATTCCAGTACTTTACTACCCTCCTGGTGAGAGTTTTTCCTAATATCTGAACTAAACTTTCCTTCTGTGATAAGGTGACAGACTCTGTGGGTGGAGGGAGATTAGTGGATGTAATTATGCCTTGACTTTAGTAAGGCTTTTAAAACTAGATTAAAGTACTGTAAGGTGGATACATAACTTTGTACTCAACAAGTAGTCATCAGTGGCTCGATTTCTAGTTGGGAGGAGGTATCAAGTGGGATTCCTCAGCAGTCTGTTCTGGGTCCAGTATTGTTAAATACCTTCAGTAATGATTTGGATGATGGGATAAAGCACATATCTAGTAAATTGGTGGATGACTCCGAATTGGGTGGACTTGCAGATACTCCAGAGAGTAGGGCTGGGATCCAGCATGACTGGAGAAATGATCTCTAGTCAATCTGATGAGATTCAACCAGGACAAGAGCAAGTCCTACACTTGGAATAGAATAGTTGCATGCACAAATATAAGCTGAGGAATGACTGGCTAGGCTGCAGTCCTGCAGAGTAAGACCTGGGTGTTAGAGTGGACTGTAAGCTGAATATGAGCCAGCAGTGCATTCTTGTTGCTAAAAAAAAGCCAACAGCATACTGGGTTGTATTAACAGGAGTGTCACTTGCAAATCAAGGGAACTGATTCTTCCTCTCTATTTAGCACTGGTGAGACCTCACATGGAGTACTACACCCAGTTTTGGGACCCACACTTTACGAAGGATGCGGACAGTTTGGAAAGAGTTCAGCACAGAGCAACAAAAATGTCAGGGGCCAGGAATAATAATTTATGAGGAAAGGCAGCAAGCTAGGGTTATTTAATATGGAGAAGAGAAGACTGAGAGGGTATTTGATAACAGTCTTCAAATACCTGAAAGTCAATTACAGAGAGGATGGAGATGGGTTTTGCTATGTGGCTATAGGGGAAAGGACTAGGAGCAATGTCCTCAAGCTACAGGATGAGAAACCTAGGTTGGAGATAAAAAGGAACTTTCTGACTATGAGGGTGGTCAGGCATTGGAAATAGTTACCTAGAGAAGTCAAAAATTGCCAAGGATGGAAATTCCACAAGAGCAGGTTAGGCAGACACTTGACCGGGATGGTTTAGTTAGGGATGATCCTGTTTTGAATGGGGAGCTGGGCCAGATGACCTTGTGAAGTCTTGTCCAGCCTTACTTTCTTATGATCCTAAGTTTCTAGAGAATGTATATTTTTACTGCGGAGTGAAAAAGTAGTAGCACCAATTTGAATAAGTAATTTCTTTTTATCATTCATGATTAAACTGGGTAAAA